ATCCCTTGGCTCTAGTTCTGGTCTTATTACTACCTTGCTGTGTGACTGAGCCATGTCAACCAGAGGGCAGGTTCGTTGAATTGAAAAGGTGGGGCCATCCCATCTCTCTCTTTCTCACTCGTTCCCTCTCGAGTGGGGTTACCCAGCACTTCCAGCCTCCCAGCTTGACGCTGCCGCTGGCAGGCGCACCCAGGTGTTCCCTTCCTCCAGCCCAGCCTTTCCACCTGCGACTGCGTGGCTCGGTCTGCTCAGCCTCTCACTAAGGTTGCTTGTCTTAAATTTGAGTGGGCCCCCACCTTATTCTTCGGTGATGCCTTGAGAAGGGTGACGTTCTGAATGTCATTTTCTGTCCTATGTCTGTTAGGATCTAGAGGAAGAGAGGTAAATTGTTGGAGCTCCCAGGCTCCAACACGGTGCCCCTGGCTAGGGAAAAGAAATAGCAAACATGGCCCAGTAGGAAGTGCCCAGACTTTAGAGTCATATGAGTTTGGGTTCCATTTCCAGGTTGGCCAAGCATTGCCTGACCTTGGGTGGGCAAGTTACTTAATCCCTCTGAGCCTCAGTTTCCTCACCTTTAAAATAGGAGCAGTAGCACCTGGACATATATGGTGTTGTTGGCACAGTATCTGGTTGAATGTGGAACCTGTGGTTCCTGTGTTTGTTGCAGGGCTCTGCATCCACTCAGTTTAAAGCCTTATTTAGTAAAGACTTTGTGGGGGATCATAAAGAGTAATCAATTGGGATTTCCCCACTGGAACTTATAATCTAATTGGGACAATATGATAATTAAATACACAGCTAGAGAGACATGTTCCAACTTGAGAATAAATGAGAAGAATCAGACCATGATAGAAGCAATTTTCTCGTATCCGGACTGTCAGAAGCCAGCCCTCTGCCATGCTCTGACAGGTGTGGCCTCATCCTTCCCCAAGCAGAGATTAATGGACAAGTTGTTACTGGTGCTGAAGTGCTGGGCACCTTCCATGTTGGGGTACATCTGCCAACCCAGCAGGGCCTTGGAAGATTTTCTTTGAGTAGCGAGTTTCATGTGGAAGCATAGGGCCTCGCGGACATTGCCGCAGTCTGAGGCAGCCCTGGAGCTAGCATCACCGGGGAGTGAAACCGGGGCTGTCCTGTGATGGAAGACCCCGTGTCAGCGCAGCCACAGGAGAGCAGTGGGGTTTCCCGGGGGCTGGGTAGGCGGATGGCAAGGCTTTGAGGCATTGTGTCCTCCTGCTGCAGCTCTGGTGAGTCCTGCAGGTAGAGAGTGGTTTCCTAAGTATTGCTCAGGTGAAGAAATTGGACCCTATTATTGTAGAAATTCCTCAATTGTTAGAGTGATCACATTTGGAAATGTTGAGTCCCTGTAAGCTTGTTCCAGAATACCATGTTTTTCATTCTGACCTCAACTCATTATCAGGAATTACCTCAGGCCTTACTACTTCAGGAACATCATTGAGTGTGCTTCAGCCAGGCACTGTTCTGATGTGTCTTCTGACATTTAATTTTCACAGCAACTCTGTGTAGTAGATAATGTTGTTATCTCCTTTTTACATAGGTGGGAACTGAGGAACAAAGAGGCAGAATGACTTGGGATTCCATAGCTAATAGGAAATGAAGCCAGGATTCAAAACCAGATAGCCTGAAGAGGCGGTACTCTTTACTTCTCTGCGGAGTGGCCTCTTATTGTTGGTTGTTTTCATAGGTACCTGTGTTCACAAGCAGAACAAGTTCCTTCCTCGTGTCATAAGGCTTGTGCCCCAGGCAGGAAAGTGAAAGCAAAAGCATCACAAACTCTTTGGCATTCTAGAAAAAAAACTTGTCTAATGGGCATAAAATTAGACTAGAGGATCTAGACTGGACTAGAAAGTTAGACTTTGATAACTTCTGACTATCCTGAGTTCCAGCTCCAGAGCCCCTAAAGAGATTAGAGATGGGGGTTAAAGGGAAAGCACATTTCTGCTTAATGAAAATGTTTCCCTGAGATTGTTGTGTGACTTTTCTTTTAACATTTCAATTACATCTAGTTTCTTAAGTGATTTCCAACTATGTGAGATTACCTAAGAATTCTTTATAACCAAAGCTAATTTTTCACAGTTAGCAAGTAGAAAGTTTACTCGTTTTCCTTCTTAATGGATCCTGGCCCTTCCTAATTACCCTCCACTTGGTCTTTGCATTTCATCTTGACTGTAATCTTTTGTTAGCACGTTCTTTAAACTTCACAATACCCATGTGTTCTTTGGGGTTGTTTTGGTTTTGGTTTGGTTGTTATATTTTGTTTTGTTTGAGACATGGTCTCACACTATTGCCCAGGCAGTGGCATCATCATAGCTCTCAAACTCTTGGGCTCAAGCGATCCTCCTGCCTCTGCCTCCCAAGGAGCTGGGACTATAGGCGTGTACCACCACACCTGGCTAATTTTTCTATTTTGTGTAGAGATGGGGATCTCACTGTGTTGCATGGGCTGATCGTGAATGTTCTTTGGTTTTTACCACGGTTAGAAACAGCATCTCTTAGATTGATATGTTACTCTATAAAGAAATAGGCTATCTAAGATAAAAGTCATTATCTTGGATGGGAATAAGAACCTCAGGTAACTCCAAGTCCAGGCCCTATAGGTGTTGCTTCCAGGTTATTCCAAGCAATCCATTACGCAATGTCAGGTCAATGGGTATTTTGTGGCTGGATGGTGGTAGAGAGTGACTCTTTTGCCAGGAGGTGCTGCTAAGCTCCCTGCTGCAAGTTGAAGCCAGGTTGCAGGAGCAAGAGAGCAGGTTGGGGGGAGGTGGCTAGATTGGAGGTGGGTAGATTGGCTGCCCCAGGACCAGAAGGGACCTGAGATGACAATGTTGTCCTGGAATATATTCAGATATTTGGCTTTTACTGGAAGGAAAGAAACAAGTAGCATGAAATCAAGTCATGAACTTTGACGACTGCTCTTTGCTGCATGAGACAGCCTTAAGCCAGAGAACTCTTCACTGCTGCTTGCATTTCATTAAAACATCTGAAGATGTGAGCACTAGTTCTTCTGAACTCTCAGAGCTTCTCTTCTAACCAGTATAGCAAGGGCTTGTTACAGGTACTTTCTTCCAGTAAACCTAGAAAGTGTCTCATCTTCATCCATAAAACAAACCACAAGGACAACCATAGAGGAACCCAGCTCTGTTTTACCGATGAAAAGTCTAAGGCCATCAGAACCCCACCACCACTCTGGAGTCTGGGAGAGAGCAGCGACAAGGCCAGAGCTGCTGGCTCCCCGCTTAGGATTATATTATATAACTCCTGACTCCTCAAGTCCCTGGAAACTGAGGCCAGTTCCCTGGAAGATCATTCTGTTCTCTCCTGTTTTTTCAAGAATAGAGCCAGCTTGATCACTGGCTTTGAGGATTGTATGGGAATGTCCCATTTTCTTTCTTCCATGAAATGAATGCCTACCATCCTGATCATTGTTTTATCAGGTTGTATTCAAACTCGCTGGACCTCACATTTTTATGTATGTTTAGCTTATATTTTGAAGAACTTTGTCTCATTTACATAAGATAAAATTCTATTTCTAAAAAAGAATTTGAGAGGGCTTACAACAAAGGAAATAAACAGAAATGAATATAATAGAAAGACAGAAAATCAGAATCAAGGAAGGGAGGCGGACATCGAGAAGGGGAGCACAGTTCCTGTGACTGGACATCCCGTTTTCTTTTTTTTTAATTATTTTTTATTTTATTTTTTCCCACTGGCAAGTATATAGACCATTAGGAATCATATTTTCTGATTTCAATATCAGAAAGGTGGTAGTCCTCCTTGGAGGAAAGGGGAGAGATTTTATAAGGTTATTTCTTATAACAAACCTCATTAAAAGTTAAAGGATTTATTTTTAGCACCTATAAGCAGTTTCTCAAATGAGGCTTGATATTGGGGGCACTGTGTTACAGTGGAAAGCTTTTGCACTTATGGCAAATGAGGAAAGAGATTTCATTTTATTTTATTTTATTTTATTTTATTTTATTTTATTTTATCTATCTATCTGTCTGTCTATTTAGAGACAGGGTCTCTCTCACCCTGGCTAGGCTACAGTAGAGTCATCATAGCTCACTGCAACCTCAGACTTCTTGGCTTAAGCAATCCTCTTGCCTCAGCCTCCCAAGTAGCTGGTCCTACAGCTATATGCCACCACACCCAGCTAATTTTTCTGTTTCTTGTAGAGACAAGGTCTTGTTCTTGCTCTGGCTGATCTCGAACTCTTGACCTCAAGCAATCCTCCTGCCTCAGCCTCCCAAAGTGCTAGGATTACAGGTGTGAGCCACTGTTCCTGGCCTAAGAAAGAGATTTTATAAGGCTATTTCTTAAGACAAACTTTGGTAAAAATAGAGGCACGTTATTAACACACCCTTTAAGAAGGCTAGTGTACTAGAGAGTGCAAGCTACATGGTCTACGTAAAAAACTTGGCCATAGCCTGGTTTGATTCAGGGATAAAGCATAGAACATCTCCTGAGTGAGTGGATAGCCTGTCACTTTGGCTGCTTCTGACCCATTTCCCTTCTCTTCACTGAGTATATAATCAAAGCCATCCAGCAGCCACTCTGAAGTGGGAGGCTTCAACAAGGTCCGAAGCACGAGTATTCACTACTGCTGGGGGCAAGACCGCAGCTTTAGAAAGCAAATAGGTAGGTTGCAGAATTGATATATTTTACATACAAGGAAACCTAGACAATGATGCACAACCATTTTCACGCATTTGGAGGGGCCATATGCAGTCCCTCGACTCAACAGTGACACTTTCCCATGGAAGCAGCTTTGGGTGACTCCAGCCCCTGAGCCTGGGGCCCCGAAGCCCTGAGCAGAAGTGGTTTGATGTGGTAATGTTCTACCATAGTCACCCTCTTCAGCCATGAAAGTCCTTAAAAACGCTCCAGTTTTGAGTAGGATGAGCAAGTTGTACCCTCTCTGCATCTGTCTGCATGTGCTCATCATGCTTTGTATTCACTGTTCTCATATTGCTCAGGAAATTGAGAGGCACAAACGTCGTCCAGCCCAGTGACTGTATAAAGCCTGATCAGGAAGCTGCTGAGGCAGAGGGGCTCCTGTTTTTCTAAAGAAGCTCCTCTCTGCTGTGCTCACCTAGTGATGAAGGCAGAAGGTCGTGTGGGATGCAGCGAGCAGTGAAGTAGCCCTCAGAAGAGGCAGCAGCATGACCCGTGGGCATGAAAGCTGCACCAGGCCCGTCTCTCCTGGGACTGGCTCCTTCTTAATGACCAGCTTTCCCTGAGGGTTGACCAGAGCTCTGGAGACAGACTTTTTCTTCTCAGCACTGAAGAATCCTTGTCCTGTCGTTTTTAACCTTAATAAGAATAGAACAAGCCTCTGGAACAAGGTGCAGCGGAGTCAGGAGAAGTGGCCTTAAGTGAAAACACAGCCGCGGGGTTTACAGACAGCACTGCAGGGAGGCGTCATCCAGTGGAAGCGGCCAGCCTCGCTCTAGACTTTCCAACACTAATGAATCGGGAACTCCATGCTGAACAGGATTTAGTTAGATGGGTCCCTGTGCCAGCAGATGGATGTATTTTTCTTGAAAGACCAAGGTGCCAGAAATCTCCATGATTACGTTACTGGAGCAAGGTTCTTTTTTGTGGTTTGTGAAGTTGAGCGTCAGGACTGCAGGATTCTCTTGCTCTTTCTCACTCTTATTTTTTCCAGGTCAGAACCAGAGCTTGGGGTGGGGAGGAAAATCCTGCTGAATGAGCAAGTTCTTTCTTAAAAAGCTCTCTCCAAGTCCAAAAAGACTTCAGTGGACTTAGGAGAAAGAAATTTAATACATTGCCATAGAATCGTTGTTAACCAAGTTAAAGCAAAGGCCACAGCATCTTTGTCTTATAAAGAAAGCAAAGAGGAGATGGAAAAAAAGAAATGATACTTAGGAAATCCAAACCAAACAGTGAAGACTAAAGAAGAAAAACTCAAGATCACCTCTGAGAATGTGAAGATTTCCTTCTAATCAGATTTTTAAATTACAAAACCAAGACTCTAAGTAGAAGTAACTTTTCTGTTCTTTTTAAGTATTCTGTAAATGGCATACCTGAAATGTTTGACCTGTGATAGGATTTGCCACTTTCAGCTTAAGGAAGAGTTGGACACTCTGCAAGACCCAGTGGACTGTGAGGGGAAGAGTCAACCATGGAGAGGCTGGAGGCTTCCCGGGCTGGTCCTTGACCTGCGTTTGAACCTTAGTCCTAATAACTAGCAGATTGAAGCAAACTCAACAGGCCTCCTGGAGAACCCATGTTGGTTTGACCTGGAGCAATCCTGGCCAAAGAACTAACACTCTACTTTCACCAGTGACCTCTCTCATTGCACCCCTGTGAGAGGCGTGCTGAGCCAGGCTCCCAGGTCCCCTGCTTGGTCATGGAGCAGCCTGCAGAAAAGGCCGGACTGCTCTGCCCTGCTGGGCTGCAAGTACCTTCCAGGAGATATGCAGAGAGAGACCCAGTTGCCCATGAGAGATCATCTTAGAGCTATTATGGATAAAACCAGATATTCCTGGACTTTTTAACACACTTTTTGTGCTTATGAGGTCAGGCTAGGACTTTTCAAAAGCACCAGGAGCTCTGAGTTGGTGTCTTCCTTAACTGATGCCGTTTAGTGCCTAGTGGCCCATGCATACTGTTCTCCAGGTATGGCTGTATGAGAAAGCTGACTGTGCACCTGAGCTGATTGAAGACTGACTTAGCCCCTAGCCAGAAGATGACCTGGCACACTTGCTTGGCCACCCTTTCCTGTCCCACCTCATCACTTTTTTTTGGTTATTCTTATGAATGTAATCAGACCCACTGGATTCACTGGGCTGGGAACCAAAATAAAGTCACATGTCTTTTACTGGTACATTAAATGACTCCCATCCCACTCCCCCCAATCTCCTGCTTGACCTGAGACATTCCTTCTTCCCCTAAGGGACCCCTGAAGTGTCATCTCCAAGCAGCAGTATCTGAGAACCCTGAGGGAGACTTGCATAATTCTCAGTCACTCATTCTTATTGCTCACCTGTTGCCATCTGCTGGGAGGGTGGCCCTGCTGTCTCCCTTGCCATCCCAGCCAAACAGCCCAGAGGGGCTGAAGGAGGGCCTCCTACAGGCCTAACAGCCCCAACAGGACCATGTTTCCATAGTCGGGGAGGAGATTCTCCTCTCCCAAGAATTCTAGCCCTTCAACTCACCCTGGCCCCTAGAGCTCACCCACATAATTCCCTGGTGCCCACCCCTGGGGCAGGAGGCCTGGGCAGAAGGGCTCTCAGCAGAAGTCTCAGGCTCTGGCTTCCACAGCCTGCCCTGCTGTGTGATCTCAGCCTGCGCCCCTGAATGTACAAGGCTTTTTCATTTTCTGTCCTTTGTCAGGATGAAAGCCATTCCTCTAACCGGATGCGTCTAAAGGCCTCCGTCCTCTGCTGGTGGAGGCTGACAGAGCGGCCACGTTACCGCCCCTTGGGCCTTTCGCTTCCTTCCCTCTTCACCCACTACCAGGAATGTCGTGTGTAGTTGGAACTGCCTGGAATAGGACTGGGTTATGGTGGGCCCTTCTGCTTGATGTGGCAGTTGCCTTTGGAAGGAGCAAGACTTTGTAAAATCTCAGGGCGGCTGCCATTCTTGCATGCTGACTTCCCAAGTTCAGCCGCTTCGTGTGTGGGTCCCCGCAGGCCTTGACTTAGAGCCAGCATGCTGGCTCTGCCTCTTTCCTTGCTGCGCCTGGTAGGTGGGAAGTATCCAGTAACTACTGTTGAGGGAAGGACCTTGTGCTGCTTCTGGGGCACTGACAAGATGGGAATACCTGAACACCGAGAGCACTTGAGCTACTGTGTGTTGTCTGGTGGCACAGTGACTGAGGGGGGCAGGTGTGAGGCCGAATTTCTTCACTGAAGCCAAAGGAGGAGTAAAAAGTGAAGGGATGAAATTGGTCACCTGCTGTGGACAGTGGTAAGGGCACTGACGCCCAGGATACCACCTGAAGGCACCACCTGGCGGGAGGCCCTGCCTCCAGCCTGCCAGAGGAGGGAAAGATGACAGCCACTTGCACAGAGGATGGACAGGCCGGAAGGGCTCTCCTGGAAGCAGGCACAGCATGAGGAAGCTCACAGCGGTGTGAGAGAGCGTGGCCTGGTCCAACCTCCTGCCCGGGGAGGTGCACAGAGCTCTGCTGGGGTAAAGGAGGGATTTGGCCCTTCCCTGTCCTTTAAGACTCCTGCTGTTTGCCCTGTGGGCCTCCCTGATTGGCACCCCCTCAGCACACGCCCACCTTGTCCATTCGTCTGCTACCGTCCACACTGATTCATGTGAGCAGCCACCCTCCAGAGAGCCTGGGCTGTGTTTAATTCACTTTTCTATCTCCAACAGCAGGAAGCCATCAAAGGTATTTAAAGAGGGAATTGTCATCAGGTTTGTGTTTTAGAACAATAACTCAGCAGTGGAGAGTGGATTAGGAGAGCAGAGCCAAGGGAGGGGAAGACCTATAACAGGTCAGTGTCCTCATGAGAAATGACAAGCACAAATGGCAAAGGGTAGCAGAAGTCCAGAAGGTGGCAGCAACCCGGCCTGTCCCGTCAAGGCTCTGGCACTGCTCTTCTAACAGTCTATTGATTCTGCTTCCTCTGTGAGTGGACTTTGCTCTGAGGCTGGTGGCTAGCTGGTTGCAGCAGTCCTGGCCCTTGCCCAGAGCACTCAGCAAGCACCCTCACATGTCTCACTGGCCTTCGTTGGGCCACACATCCATTCCCGAACGATTTCCTGGGGCTAGGAAATGCATGCACTTGGGTTTCTGATCAGTCATTGAAAGGCATATGGGATGACCTCAGAACTGTCAGGTCCAGCCCTGGAGCTGGAGATTGGGTCTGCTTCCTGCTGGAGCCCCTGGACTGGGGAGGGGTTGGGGTATGAATAGCTGAAGAAAACTAGGGTAGCATTAGGAAGGAGGAAGTGCCTGCAAGGTATACATCCATGTCTGCTACAGGGGCTACCTGGACTCATTCTTTCATGTATTGAACCTTGTGCATGGCAGGCACCTACACGCACTCCTGCACGCCTGTGGGGACGTACTTTGTGGATTGCTTTATCTCAGAAACAACATATCATCATCCTAGGTGAATTTCAAACCTCTCATGGAGGCTCCCCCACCCCCACCTTCAACTCTCCATTCCTTGGATTTTGTGTTTGGCCATCTCCAAGGCCAGGCACACAGCCTGCTCTCCGACCACAGCCTCCAGTCCCTGCAACTCCCTGACCCAGTGACTCCCACAGCTCCTCTCCTTGACCTCACAGACACCTAGGAGGCCGGGCCAGTCCAGTGCTTAGCGATGTGGACCACACTTCAGTTCTGCCACTTATGTGTTAATTTGGGCTAAATACTTAAACTCCTCTGTAGCTTGCACACTGGAATTCCATCCCTCATCATCTCAGAGACCTGACTCTTCAGTTATCTCTGTCATCTGCAGATACACTCCCTTCAATCCCACATCCTGTTACCCTTCCCATTCTCTTTCATTAATCTCGCCTCTTGCCCACTACTGTCTGATTCACTAAAAGAGTTGTATATACTCATGATCCCCATTTCCTTGCTTTCTACTCATTTTCCATCCTGTCGAACCCTGATCTCTACGCCTACTGCTCCCTCCTAGAGTCTTTTCTGCAATATCCAATGGATTTCTTGTTTGAGATACTTACTGTCTCTTATTTGACCTCTTGGAAGGCCCTAATGCTGCTAACTGCTCCTTCCCTAAGGCAAGCTCTCCCTTTGGCTCCTGTGATGTACTAACTCAATAATCCATGGCCACTCCTTCTCATTTCCATTACCCAGCTCTTAAATCTAGATGTTTCAAAGGATTCTATTTACCACTCTCTTTTTATTCTACTTAGTCTATCTGGACAATTTCAGCTACTCTAGTAATTTCACTTCCATCTTACTTACCATCTGAAGTTTCCCAAATTTGTGCCTCCAGATTACAGTCTTGCTTATAAATGCCGGAGATGTACATACAGCAGCCTACTGCTCATCTCTGCTAGATGCTTCCAGGTACTCTAGAATCAGCAATACCAAACTGAACTCAAACTCTTCTCCCAGACCTGCTGTTCCTCCTTGTCAGGGTGAGTAGCAGTACCACCTACTCTGCAGCCCAAGGCACAGAGTCTTAAATATTCTTTTTGACATAGGTAAGGTGGAAAGAGTGTGAATTGGGGTTGAAATTCTAGTTCTAATCTAATGTGGTTTGGACAATTTACTTAACTTTTCTCAGCCTCAAGTTCCTCATCTATAAAAAGGAAATAGTAATACCTAATTCAGGTGGTGGTTATCACGATAAAGGACAGCATTGGCTTGGTAGGCAGTCAGTAAACATGAGTGCCCTGTGTCCCAGTCCTCACTCCACCCTGCCCCATCACCACCTCCATGGAGTGGCCTTTTTGTCAAATTAGTGTGTACATAGTTTCCTGACTTTGAGAACAGGAATTAAATTTCCCACAATTCCTTCATGACTGAAGATTCCAGCTTCTATCTCATCACTTGTTTTTCACCTAGTCATGGGAGATCTGGAGTTGAGTGGGGGCTGGGAGGCAGAGTCCAGATGTCACTGTCACATGGCTAGATGTGTGTGGACTTCTGCATCTCATCAGTCTTGTCTCTCAGCTGGCTCCCACCACTCCTCTCCCCACTGCTCTGTCCTAAGCCAGATGCTCACGGTCTCATCAGGCCCTGGGGCAGCCTCCTGCCAAGCCTTCTCCAGGCTCTCCCACCTCAGCCCATTCTCTACCTGACCATCAGACTGGGTCTGTCTTCTGCCCTGAAACCCGCTGTGGCTTCTTCTTTCTGACAAATGACGTCCACACACTCCTACGTGCAGCCTGCCTTGCCAGCTCAGCCCTCTCGAGTCCCCATACCAGCTCGGTGGCTCAGTCCTCTCTGACCCAGGCCCCCTTTCATAAGGGAGCAGGAAATATACCTGGATACCAGCTGAGAAGCTGATTGTTACACTTCTTGGGTCTAGTGGCTGGTAAGACAGGCATACAACACTCCCCAAAGACCAGCTGTATTGAAAGCAGGGACCAAAAGACACAGGAAACCCAGGGGTCTTAGAATTCTGTATAGAAGTATGAATCAGCAGCTATAGAATAAGGGAGAAAACACATTAACACATTAATGTTTTATGCAGTATCAAAGTAATGTATGTTTATTGTAAATAATTTGGAAAATGCAGAGAAAGTATAACAGTCACCTAGAGCCTCTCACCTAGTGATATCCACTGTTGCCGTTTCCATAGCTTTCCTTCCAATCTGCCTTCCGTGCTCTGTTCTTTTGTAAATAGCTTTCATGGTATACTGTATAATCAACTATGTATCCTGCTTTATCTCATCTGCACCACATATTTTCTTGAGTTAGCAAAAATTCTTAATAAACAACATAACGGCTGCCTGCTGTTCCATGTGTGACTATGGGGTAGTTTAACCTTCTGTTATTGCTGGACTTTTAGAGTCTTTCCAATAAATAATACTGAGGGCAACAGTTCTGCAAATAAAACTTTTCCTCCTCCATTTCTGATAGTTTTTCTAAGTTATAAATCCATAACTGGAATCACTGAGTCAAAGAATATGAAAATTTCTAAGCAATGCAGACTCTTGAAATGGACAGAGTGAAATAGGCCTGACCTCAGCTGCAAAGAGAGAGATAAAGAGGAAAGGGTAGTAATTCATGGATTTTTTTAAAATTATTTTTTGTTTTAATGAAGGAGAGGGCTGAGAAGATCCAAGCAGTGCTCTGTAGGGAAAACATGCCTTTGACTCGAAGTTCCTGGCATCATCATGGTAAAGAAGGGCTTGTTTCTGGTTTTATATTTTCATCTGGGTCAGTAAGAGGACAAACCATTCCTATCCACTAAGGAAGAGAAAAATCTTCCAGCATCTAATGATGCAGATCATTAGCTGTGTTAACAGCCTTGCAGTTCAAAAAAATTTATAATAATGTATCCTCCTAATGTGCAGTTAATTTTAGTTAAAATTTCCCTGGTGATTTAAAAACCCAGTGAATTTGTAAATATAGTAATTGGCTCTGCATTTGGAAATGTTAAAGCTGCCGTAACCAACTTAGCTCTAGCAAGACACACTGCACCCCTCTGAGCTCTGTAGGAGTTCTGCGCTCACCTTAACATTCCCCTCTGGAACCCAGGAAGAAACCAAGACTGTACCAGAGTTCCTGTGCCTGATCTTCTGTAATTGAAGAAAGTTAATGAGTATCTCAGAGTTAACATGCCCAGTATCAAACTTTTGACTCCCTACCTGTCCCCAAATTCAGTCACCTGCCTGGTTGTTCAAATCAAAAGCTTGAACTGTCCTTGATTTCTTCCTTTCTGTCCTTGCCACTGCCAGCATCAAATCCATCAGCATATCCTGTTGATTCTACTTCTAAAAACTTCTAAAATATATTTCAAATTGTCCATGTCTCCCCAGCTTGCCTGCCCATCCTCCCTCCTGTTCCAGTCCTGTGGCCACTGCCTGACTCCTCAATGGCTGCCTCCTGCGGGCTCCTGCTTCTGTTCTCTGCCCCAAGGTCTGCTGTGGTCTACGCTGTAGGCAGAGGGATCTTGCCGAAACAGAACTCTGATTGCCTCATCCACCCTTCCTTTTCTTTCCTTTGCTTTTAAAGCCAAAATTTCCAGTGTGGCCAAGAAGGCCCTGCGTCTTCTGCCCAACCTGCCTCCCCAGTGTCACCACCTACCATGTCCCTGGGTCTGTCAGAGTCCAGCTTTACCTGCCATCCTTCAGTTCCTGCAGCTCCCGCCCTAGGACCTCTGTATGTGCTGTGCTCTCTGCTGAGGAGAACCTTCTCCACTCCCTCCCGCTCCTCCCCACGCTCTAGGTAACCATCCCCTCCTGATTCAGGGAAGCCTTCCCTCATCCCTCTTCTGTCTAGGTCAAGTTATTTACTTTCATAGAAGCTTATGGATTTTTTTTCTTGCTTCGGTGAACCTATTCTAATTGGAGCTTTACCCACATATACATATTCACTGGTGTGGTTATTTGATTGCTGTCATCCCCGCTAGACTCTAAGACCCATGAAGGAAGCCCCTCTCTGCTGCTGTCACTGTTCTTTCCCTGTCAGCTAGCTCAGATGTAGCCCAAAGTAGGCACTTAATAAATGTGTTGTTTGCATGCTGAATGAACAAGTAGAGTCCTGGGAACGATCCTCTGATGACAGAGTACGGTGTGGGCTCTTCCCAGCGGACAGACTCAGGTTTTCCAAACACATTGGCTGGAAGGAGTGTGACTTTCCTTGATTTTTTTTTTTTTTTTTTTCATTTCAGCTGTCGGAATGAGTAGAGCATGCTGCCTAAAACTTGTCTTTCTCTTCTCTCTTTATTCAGCTAAAGCTTGCTTTTACTCTGGACCATGAGACTGGATTGCCTCAAGGATGTCATATCTATGAGTACCGCGACAGTAACAAGTAAGCCACCCAGTGGGAAAGAGTGTCACATGTTGTGCAGCAGTGGCACCTGTGGGCTTTCTGACACTGGGCTTCTCTCGCTAAGGGGTTGTCAGGACAGGAATCACACTTTTTGCAACTAAACTGGAAAATAGCTGGCACAAAAATAATTCTTCCATTAGAGTTGCTTTGCCCCCACATGTGCTTGGAGCACTTGTGAAGAAGCTGTGCTGTGCTAGGAGTGCATTCCACAGCAGCCCTTCTTTTCCAGGCCCCAGCCGCCCTCTAGGTGCAGCCCCCTGGGTCCCCAGTGACGTGCTTGCTCATTTGATTCCCTGTGTGACTTTGACTTTTGCCACAGTTCTCGATTCACTGTCTGACTATACTTATGTTTCTGGGTTTTGTCGTGATTGCCTACATTGTGAATTTTATAGTTGGGAGATTTCTGGGTACTTACACAGGTTTAAATTGACGGCCTGGGCCGGGCGCGGTGGCTCACGCCTGTAGTCCTAGCACTCTGGGAGGCCGAGGCAGGTGGATTGCTTGAGGTCAGGAGTTCGAAACCAGCCTGAGCAAGAGCGAGACCCCTGTCTCTACTATAAATAGAAAGAAATTAATTGGCCAACTAATATGTAGAAAAAATTAGCTGGGCATGGTGGCACATGCCTGTAGTCCCAGCTACTCGGGAGGCTGAGGGAGGAGGATTGCTTGAGCCCAGGAGTTTGAGGTTGCTGTGAGGTAGGCTAACACCACAGCACTCACTCTAGCCTGGGCAACAAAGCGAGACTCTATCTCAAATAAATAAATAAATTGACGGCCTTAGCGGGACACAGTGGCACACACCTATGGTCCCAGCTACTCAGGAGGCTGCGGTAGGAGGATCACTGGAACCCAGGAGTTTGAATCTAGCCTGGGCACAGTGAGACCCCCGTCTTTGGAAAAAAAAAAAAAATTGGTGGCCTTGTTGCTTGTTGGAAAGGTGACACCTGGCATAACTTTATAGCACCTCCTTTCTTCATCAAGACTGCCTTCTTGACTATGTATTTTTGTTTGTGAGACAATGAAAATAGTGGTAGATGAGGCACAGGAAATATGCTCTGGTGGTGACGATGACAATAATGATAATGATGGCCACTACCATAGAGCACCTGCTGTATGTTAGGCAGAGTACTGGGGACTTCACCTTTGCTAATCCAGTTTAATCTTCATAACATCCCAAGGTGTGTTCCTTTATTATTGTTGTATTTGCAGAAGCTGAGGCCTAGGGAACTCACTCAGGGTAACTTGCCACAGGTGCGCAAAGCAGTCAACATTATCACGTGTAGTCAGGGAAAAGAATAGATGGAAGACAATTGTCCCAAGTCACTGTTTTTAGAAACACCAGTCAGTAACAAGAGCAATCTTAACCTGGATTGAGGATAATGTATTCTGACCTCCTTGTTTAAATGTCCAAGCTACTTGATTTTATCCAGTGGAAGGAAACAAATAGGCACATGCCAGTAGAACTGTATGTTACCTTCCAGAATAGAAACTCATTCATGTCTTCCTGAAGAACTCTTGCTCTGTTATAGTAGAAGATAGGTTACTGGGTGCCCTCATGACCAAATCTCCATTCAGATTATATGTAACACATTATTATTATTCTATGTAATTTATCTTTAGGAGGATGCTATAGTAAGCTATTGTGTACCCCTAATTCCCAGCAAATTAATCATAGGAAAGATTAACCAAGTGTCCTTTAACACTAATTCTGGCCTGACTCTCTGCTCTTTGGAAAAAAGGTTGCAGAGTTTTTGTTCAGTGGGAGAAGGGCACGGGCTGTCCATCCTTTAAGTTCATGTCTTAGCCATGCAGATGTCCAATGCCAACAACTTAACTTGTCTTTGAATATGAAAGGAGAAAATAATCTAGCTCTGTGTCTTAGTCTGTGTGTAGCTCCTAGCATATAATCAGTCTGTGTGTAGCTCCTAGCATATAATCAGAGCAAGCAATATAAGAAAAGAATTTTGAGGTTTAAATATAGCTAAGCTTTGGCTCCCAAAGCCCTGTCAAGGAAAGCATTTGTGTAGGAAATCAGATAGCAGCTATGATCTAGAAAAGTATGGCAATCAAATGCCTCAATGACCCCTCTCCCTGACTCTCTCTTTTTTGGCTTAGAGTCAGACTTGGGGTTCCTTCTCAATCCTTAGACAACTTCCCTAACCTCCCTGAGCCTCAAGTTTCTTCATCTGTTCAAAATAATGAGACTAACAGTACTTCTCTGGCAGGGTTGTAATGGGGCTCTCTGGCAGGGATGTCGTGTTAAGCGCATCACGCTGGCCGGGTAAACAGAGTGCTTACAGGAAGTGTTGGTCGCCTCTCCTCTCCCTTTAGGGCCGGCAGGGCTGCGGCTCACAGTGTGCTGATTAGAGCAGAGGCTGGTGCGCAGGCCCCTGACCGCCCTCAGTTGCGTGTGATGCTCTCTGTTCAAAAGCAGACTCCTCTCCCCACTTGTGCATTGTGAAGTGAAGCGTGGAGGACCCCATGAGCTTGACCATGACTTCTCTACCCAGGCTCTGCTCTGTGTTCCTCTGTTCCCTTTTAGGGTCATTTCCTCTAGAATGCCTGAATCCAAGTATTGGTATACTAGTGACATTTAGGAAATGAGGATATTCAGCCCAGGCCCTAAGGAGCCCTTGTTGTCTCAGGCCAAGTAATGTGAAGCCAACAGCAGCAGGGAGATGAGATTCTGCATGTGAAAGAAACTGGGCTGAATATGAGTTTGGTACAACTAATTATTGAAAAGACTACTGTTCTCTTCAGAGTATCTCCTGCAGTATAATTTGTAATCATTTTAGTATTCGTCTCCATTTGCCAGATTCATTGTGTCAGCAAAAAAAAATTCTTCTGAGTAAGTGCTGAGGCTGTTGGACAGTTCTCCCAAGTGGTCTTTCCTTTCAAATGGAATGGGCTGGAAAATGGGTACTCTGCTTTTGTATTCCCTGCACTCTCTGGTCAGCTTCCTTCCTTAGAACATCCTGGTACCCCTGATCCTTGGCTCTATGTCATCCTGTTGTCCTTCTACATAAAGGGGCTAATCTCTGCCTCTGGGCTCCAAGGAGGACAGGCCCTGGGACTTGTCCATCTTTGATGGGACTTGGACCGTGTCTCTTCTTGGGCTAGAAACACAACTCTCAGGTAAACATTCTTAAAGCCCTGAGGTAATTTGAAAAAGAGAAACTGTCCTATTGTGCCTTGGGTTAGATTAGTAAATCTCTCTACCCCTAATTATTCTGTCAACCTCCCCAAAGCTGTTCAAATCTGCATCTGAGAGTGAGACCTCATTCCCCTCTACCCACAACAGATAACAGATATCACCAGTCACCACCCATGGACCCAAGTACCACCTTCTTTATTTCTCTGTTGCAGAAAACTTGGCCTACGTTTGATATTAAATCCAATAAATCAGGGACTAATTGAGAGTCATTTTTGGTGATCTCTTCATGGGGCAAGGAACAAGGTCCAAAAGAGTGAATAAGGGATTGATGAGAATTCAGTTAAACATTTTTTGAGTCCCTGCTCTATACAATGTGTTGTGCAAGACCCTAGGGGGCCAAAGAGAAATTAGACCCGGTTCATGCCCCCAAGGGGTTTGTATAAGTAGCAGAATACACTGCAGCACCCTCTGGGCTGTGGAGCGCGTGGCAGTGGGAAGACTTGAGTGCCCTGGAGGTAACAGTGAGGAAAGTGACTGCTTCTGACTGGGGCAGCTGTGTGGATGGTGGTGACCTTCGCAGACGAAGGACTTTGTCCAGAAGGCTACCTCCTCTCCATCTCCACGGCCACCCTCCTCCCCACTGCCAGAACCGGCTCTACCCAGCAAACTGCTCTCTCCGCCGCCAGCTGGCTGGCCTCCAGCCCCTCCTCTCTGCAGCTCGGCGGGCTTTGTAGTAATATGTCTTTTCATTCTGGCTGCTTTTGAGACCTTATTTTTGTCTTTAGTGTTCCACAATTTGACTACATTATGTCTGAGTGCTTTCATTTTTATTTTATATTGTTTAGGACTCAGAGCTCTTATTTAGAAATTCTTACCTATTATTTCTTTGATTCTGTCCTTGTGGAAATCCAGTTAGAAACCCACCATCTTATTTCATCTTTCCTCTCTTTTTTCCATCTCTTTACTGCCAGTGCTGCATTCTAGGAAACTTCCTCAAAAGTGTCTGAGTTTAATCT